ATATGTTATATTTGATGATAAATCATGAATTTACAAATATTGGTTCATTATTTAGCGTTGGGCTTCTTCCCTTCAAATGCAACTCGAGGGAGGCTTCCAAGGTCGGCCAAATAAATTAGTAGATGGATGTTATTCGTTTTGGGTTGGTGCATTGTTTCCTGTTTTGGAAGCTATCATGACACGACAACAGTTAGAAAAAAATAATACAAATTGCGAAGAGCTTCGTGAATTTGTTGGTATTGTATCGATTATGTATTAGTTAAAATAATTACATGTTTTATAAACGACTAATATCTAGTTTTTTACAATATTCAGCTCAACCTTTATTCGATAGAGGTATTTGTTTTATTTTTTGCCAACTAAATACGTATATACTAAAGCATTTAAAAATTTATAGAAGCACTTCAGGAATATCTTTTGATAGCTTGTCAATATCCAAAGGGTGGGTTAATTGATAAGCCAAAACGTAGCCCGGACTATTATCACACTTGCTATTGTTTAAGTGGTCTATCGACTTCACAACATCACGTAATTTATGACGTTGAAAAAGCTACATCTTCAGGCGTAGAACAGGGTGAGCTCAATGCTGGAGATAGATCCTTACTGTGGTCTGAAGACGAGACAAGGATTTTAATTCTTGGTGATCCTAATAACATTGTGGTTAGTTGAAATATGCATTTTCTTCAACTTTATAATTGTTGATTAAGTTATAAATGCTTCTCATACTTTCTAGAATGCTACGCATCCTATTCATAATGTAACTATGCCAAAAGTTAAAAAAATTATTGAATATTTTCGCGACAAGCCTTGCAGTTTTTAGGTGATCTAAATTGCTATCTTTCGTCAAGGATGTTATTTATATTATTAAATGCTTATACGCAGTTTTCCTGAAAAATTCTAAAAAGTTTGTTAGTCATCCAGTAAGCTGGTTTTAGTTAACCTTTTAATTAATTGGCTTTTTACATCATGTGAGTCATATATTAAGTAAATGGGCTTTATTAAGTAGGCAATGCAAAAGTTAGTAAAAGAATAATTCAAATTATTTTTAATTTAGCTTTATATACAATATATACTTTT